ACAGAGATCACAGATGACACTGTGATAATTAAGAGTTTTGGTCTTGTTGCTGTGACCTGGACATTGTTGGTGACATCAGACGGCATTGATCAGAGTACCTTTTATTCAAAGTACTATCAACCCTGGGAAAATTAAAGAAAGATAAGACATACAACTCTATGTATTTTGAAAAATATATTGTGCTGGTGGACTATTTTGAGTAAATGTGTGACTTGGGTCACGAGTCATCTGGTCCACTTGTTTTTTTGGATAGTCCTTTTAGATCAGGCAAACGTATAAAGTCATTCAGGGTGAGGTTGACGGCTAAAGAAACGTACGCTGTAGCGCATTTTCTTCTAGAAAGAAAAACTCAAGAAGCAGCCGTGAGCTATGTTAAAAAATTGAAAATATTTCTGAGGACACACACTAAGCTGAATGAGCAGCTGTTGTATCTAAGTGACGTTGTCCAGGCAGTTTGGTCTGATGCTGAACCAAATGACGTGGTGAAAAATAGTGAAAGCTCTAACAGCCACTTATGGGAGCAACAAAGAGTCAAGGTTTCAAGACTGAGAGCGAGAGAGAGAGAGCTATACAGAAACGGTTGGAATGAATGAACTTTTTTTTCCTAGCGATAAAAATCCGAAAGAATTAAACAATTGTGTCACGAATGTTTAAGACAATCATCATTTCCCAATAAGAATGTTATTATTAGTGTTTAGGGGTTGACTGAACAGCGCAAAACAATCGTAAGTCAGCTTTGCAAAAACACTGTCACTAAGACTGATGATGTCCTACACGAGACCTCCGCTGGAACTGTTGTGGCCTGGTCTGTTTCCATGGCGTCTCGGCTCTGTGTTTATTCTCGAGACGTGCGGCAGAAAAGAATGACTTACATTAGTGTTTGAATTGGCCGAGCAAATGACCTGAATGTCCGTTTAATCTATGCCAGGTTTTCCAGATTTATTTATACGCATACTGGGGGGAAAAAAACCCTGAAATATATGTGCAAATACCTGGAAATTCTGCATCAGCAGAAAGGTGTTTCTCTGCATTCGATCCAGGTCGTTGGTTTCCTTTCTGCTGTTCCAGTTCAAGAACCGCTGCTGGTTTAGCACCATCTAACTAAGCAGGCATCGTCACCTGAGCCGCAGGTGGGAAACTTTAACCACGGCCCATCAAATATTAAAGTGTATGGATGTTTTCATGTGTATAAAGGAAAGGCTGGACACCGTTACCTTTCTCTCTACCAAACAGATCGGTGACACTGTTTGGGTCTGCGGAAGACCACGTTGTTTTTAAAGACCAGATGCAGTTCATAAAAAATACTTAACGTCAACTGACATCTGACAACTTAACATCCAGGACTGTAATAAAGCACATAATCACTGTACATCTGACCAGTTTACCAAATGTGTTTTTGTTTAATTTTTAATTTAATCAAACCAAGCAAACAACAAAAAAAACTGACAGATTTTGATGGAACATGCTAGTGATTTCAATTATTTAGACATTGGATAACACAGTAGGAGTTAGTAAATAAAAAGTAAACCAAAACATAAAGCAATATATTATTGTATCTTAGACAAACACAAGAAAAGACAAATCACTAAAGTGTATCCAAGAATTAGCGGAATGTTGGGCCGGCGGGTCAGAAGTCAGAAGAAAAATGAGTTTTATTTGTCACTTTGTCTTATAACTAGCATAAATTCAAACCAAATACTGAGGGACACGTGTCTAAATTCATAAACATTCAGCCCAAATGAAACCGATTTTGAAAATCCAATGAGTGATAAGTTGGACAAATTATAGCAGTTTCTTGCTATACACTAGCCAAAATATAAGTAAACGCAAAAATGGCAAACAGTAGAAAAATGACTGAATTTATTTTAAGATCCAACAAATCAAAGTTAGTTAACACATGTAGATCATTAATGGTTAGACAAATATCCAACAAATCAAAGTTAGTTAACACAGTAATGGTTAGACAAATAATTAGACAAAATGTAGTGATGGTCAGTCAAAACGTGTTAAAAGAAACCATGGCGCAACGTAGCAATGGATTAGCAGAGAACATATACCAAGCTAAAAATATGAAATTAGCCAATGACTAAAACAAGACAAAAGTTAGACAACGTATTTAGCTGTAGGTTAGCTCAGAAATACCAGAATTTTATTCATTTCATAAATAACTTAAAAATGCTTTTTTGAACATTTAGCAAAAAAGCTAAATGTAGTAGGTGCAACTGAAATTAGCAAAGGATTAGCTCAGTCAAACGAACTGAACGTTGTCACAGCAGGAGCTAAACAGAAAAAAATTGAAGACTATGTTGATAAATAAAAAAAAAAAACCTCAGAAGCTTCATAAACTGTGACATGTCCGGGCCTCTTACTCACACTGCTCCAAACTCAATAGTCCATTGTCCCTGCTCTGATATGGAACCTCAAACCTATAAGTCAAAAGTGGGGGGTTGGGGATGAAGTCATCACGGCAGGAGAGCAGTACAGTCAGACACCTCAGTGGCCAGGGAACATGGCCTGAATCCTGTTCCCTCACTGTAAATCCTTCCAGTCAAGCCGGCCTGCTGCAGCGGTGATAAAGGTAACAATGCCTGTGCCCAGCATATGGCATTTGAATTTATTTGCACAGCAGCCTTTATATACTGTACCGAGTTCATTTTTCTTTTCCCTCTCGCAACAATTATTCACACACATCAAAGGAGAAGAACGTTTTTCCAAGTGGTGCGAGTGGAAGTTAGTTCAACAAACAGTTGAAGCGCTTTGTCTAGGAATCCATCTGAACTTTAATTCATACAAATGTGCTTTCAATTGAGGCTGTTATGAGTTGTGATTTCAAATAACTTGCCTGAACAGCAGGTGGCCCGCGTTGGTTATGCTATTGGACTACGCAAAAATAAACATATATTTAAACCTAAATATTGGACCTCCAATATAAATATCTTTATCGCAGTGTGTCTGGTTACATTGTTGGTATGTTATAGATTTCGAACTATATGTGTTCCGGGTTTGTGGGAAATCCTTGGAAGTGCTTGTAAATGCCAGGAATTTCAAACCTACTTTTATTTCTCAGCAGTCTGACTCAATAGAACACATTAAACGGAGAGAAATAAAACAAGTTGAACAAAAAAACTCAAACCACAGTTGCTGTCGGGTTTCACGTTAGCCTTCGTGTTTTTGACAGGATTGCTTGTTGTCATGTGTCACGTCACCCCCAAGAGAAATACCTGCAGTATTTTCATCAATATTTGGTCACCTGCATGTATAAAAGGTGGTATTTTATACACGTATATACTACTGAACTGTTGGTGTGAAAGCTCCGCTCACTTTCTGGTCAGCAGTTATAACAAGGCAGAAAGTTAATTTTATATATGTAAAATAAAATGTTATGCTTTGTTTTGTTGAAATATTGTCTGATGTGAGGATTTTTGTGCAGAAAATGCAATATTGTTTTTCGCACTTTTGGTATGAGCACCGCTATACGAACAAAGGTGCGATAACATTTGGTTTGCAAATATTTTAAATGTCTATGGTGCATAGTAACAGTCGTGTTGCTTTTAGACAATATAGAAAAATATTAATGATTAATTATTTTGTATGCAACTTAGAAATATATGAGAACCAGTGATATCAGCCAGCATTGACCTTTCATTTACGTTTACGTTAAATATCACTGTAAATGATGTCTAATGTATTTGGGGATAGAATTTCACGTTGCACCCCGTGACCCAGGGTTTCCTGTATTTTGAGCGAGTGATCAAAGATCTTTGCCCAGACCCAGTAGGAACGTAAATATATAAATATTTTAAACAATTTTAAAAGAATATATATATATATATATATGTGTGTGTGTGTGTGTGTGCCGTTTTGGTAAATCACGTGTGTATATTTATACTGTTTCTGAGGAGGGGGTGGTGAGGAGGGGGGTCCTCACTGCGTGACACAAAGTGTTAGCAGGTCAGGCTTTGTCAAAGAGCTGCGGCTTTATCTCCATCTAAAATAAACACCGGACAACAAGAGGGGGCGCTATAAAAAAAATTCAAATCGCTTAACTGTGGCACTGCAAGAGGGGGCGCTATAAAAAAAATTCAAACCGTTAAACTGTGGCACTGCACTTCCCCCTTATTGCCCCTTAATAATTTAAAGAGTTACAACAAATTAATATTTTGCGTTTTTTTGTTTGTTTTGCTTTGGTTTTTAAGAGTTACAACAAATTAATATTTTGCGGTTTTTTGTTTGTTTTGTTTTGGTTTTTGTTTTGGTTTTAATACAAATTTACCAATATATAAAAGCGACAGTTGGATCAGATTTAGAAAAAAAAAACAAAACACCAACGTCTCCAAAAGCTAATGAGTGTTGATGTAGAACCAGCAAAAAAAAAAAAAAAAAAAAAAAGGTGGAGAGACCGGTGGGTGGTGTCCACTGCTCCACCGTGTCAGTAATGACACTTGAGTACCGTATATAAACGGGGCGGGACGTCAGTCAGCCCTCACTGGGACTCACTGTGCGCTGATGCTGCGCGGCATAGTCGCATCACCACTGACAGCTCCAGCCTCGCATCAGCACAGACCAGAGCCTCACTGACCGGCACGATGGATGGACAACATAAAGACCGCAGAATGTCTCACTTGTGGATATTGACGTTACTGTTATTGATCTAACCTCAACCACTGGATAACTCTGGTCGATCCCATCTTCATCCCGTCATCTCTCTATCTCTCTCTATCTCTCTCTCTCTCTCTGGATACCGGACCGGAGCTTTTAAAGGATTATATTTATTTTGACCGTTTTTGTTTGCCATCACTCCGTCACAACTTGGATTTAGGAGCGTTTTGAGGTTTTTTCAAGGATACGCACATCAAACACTAAAGGATGGCCATTTGGTTCACCTCTGTCTACACAATAGTTGTACCGTTGATGTTCACTCAGGTAGTTTTTAACACAAGAAGGAAAAAAAAAAAGTTTGCTCGATTTTCTGTTTGTGCTCACGTGTTATATCCTCTCAGGTTCTGGGATCAGGTGTGTTCGAGCTCGATCTCCATCACTTTCAGAATTCTCAAGGTTTGCTGGCAAATGGACAGAGTTGCAGCATGGGCGGCTGCGGCACATTCTTCAGGGTTTGTTTGAAAAACTACCAAACCGTGGTGTCTCCCGGAGACTGCATTTTTGGCAGATCCGTTACACCTGTTCTGGGCAGCGGCTCCTTCAGCATCCAGCAGCAGGACGGCAGGCTGCGGCTGCCGCTGAACTTCACCTGGCCGGTAGGAGGACGCACGATACACGATTTACACCTTACACAGTGATGGAAATGTTTCTCAGAAAGTGGAAAAAAGTAAAGTTACTACAACAGGGAAGGAATCAAAATGTCTAAATTAAATGGCAATTAGTAATTACCGCCTTAACGATCACGATAGGGTTTTTAAAAAAAATCTATGTTAATTATAAGACGAAATAGTCGCCTGCTTAATTTCACTTCCACTCTTATTTTAATATGATATGAAAATGTAAACAAAGAATGATTAATCGACTAAACTACCTTCATGTATTTCTCTCTGACTTTTTCTTCCCATTATGTCTCCATAGGGTTCTTTCTCCTTAGTTATTGAAGCTTGGAATTCTCCCCCGGCGGACCAACCTGGAGGTGAGGAGTCGCATAATTTGTTTTCACCACTAGAGGGTGGTATTTCACACGTATATGCACGGCATAGTGCCGTCTATGACTATCACACGTTTTAATCTGCACAGTCCTCACTTAACGCATTAAAGACTCATACACGCATATGCCCCCCCCCCTCCACTCCCCCCCTCACCCCCTTTAAGCGCAGTGGATCCTTTTGTGTTTGCGGGGATGTCTCATGAGTCACAGGACAGTAATTGGAAGTCAAACACAATCGCACTTCCTTTGTTTTATTTTTGGCCCATGTCATGGGAAAGTGTGGAAACGAAACCCCGGCAGAGCTCACAGCCCGGTCGGACTTTACACCTGTCAGATTAACCGTATAAATCATGTCGTCAGCTCCATCTGAGGTGAAGCTCATCTGATGTTTCTGTTTCCTTCTCAGACACCACCAACCCCGATTTCTTGATTAGTTATTTTGCCATCCAAAGACAGTTGGGAATAGGGCGTGAGTGGTCCCAGGATGTGCAGAGCGGGACGCAGACGGAGCTCAGGTACTCATACCGCTTCATCTGCAATGACAATTACTACGGGGACACTTGTTCCAAAAAATGTGCTCCGAGAGACGACCATTTTGGCCACTACACCTGCAACCCTGAGGGGCAAATAGTCTGTCTGCCAGGATGGAAGGGAGAATACTGCCAAGAACGTAAGCAAGAGTAAAACTCCATATGGACATTTCATTTGTTTGTGATTAAAGGGTCACTCAAAGGTCTACAACAGGGGGTTTCACATTCTTCTGGACGGGACCCCCGACTGATTCAGAGATAAGCAGGGACCACCCACCACATATTTTTAAAGTTGCATCTAAAACATTTTTTTATGGTCTCAAGCAGGGACCACCCACCACATATTTTTTAGTTGCATCTTATGGTCTGTAATGTCATTGTACCACAAGGATACAACGAAACTGAGCCTCTGCTTTTAACCCATCACCAAGGGGAGCAGTAATGTATTGCTACTGTGTCAATTTGTCTTTTAATTTAACAAAAAAAATTAAATTTAAAATCTGCCAAATATACATACAAATATTTTTAATTTGTCTAATAAACCAAAATATTTTATGACCCATTGAATTCCCTCGATGGATCAGTTGGGGGTCGCGGACCCCGAGTTGAGCTCTTTACCTGATTCAAGTAAAGGAGGTTTAGAAATCATTCAACCAAAGTCAAATTAATTCAGTCATTAAGTCCATCAAAGCGACCAAATCCGTGTAAGAACATTAAATAGTGGCGATATTTTGTAAATAAATCGTCTCGGCGTCACGTGTTACGTTTCCTTCGAGGCTGAAGAACCTGTTTAACTGAACTCAGGTGTTAATGACACTGTAGGCTATGAACTGCTAATGATGAAATCTGAGGACACACACACACACACACACACTCTCTCTATGTAAATTTGGCGCACTCTGACGGTGGGCGCGGGCCGGCGCTAATCCAGGGCGGTGCTCGGCCAGGAGCACACGCCGGGTTAATCGCGGCATTATCGGCCGCCACGCGCCGCTAAAATTGCGGTCTTCCATTGTTGAGGCGGTTCAGGGCAGCAGCTGCAGCCATGGCCGCGACCAGCCCCGACCCATAACAATAGGGCAGCTGTCCCGCTTTTCTAAGGACAGGCATCTGCTGCGGCTAACCAGCAATTTAACAACCAGGCGGCGACGTTCGTCCACAGATATGGTCAGGAAACAGAAGCGGGGGGCGGGAGGGGGGGTTAATAAGTAATAATAGGTAAAAGTAAAAATAAATTAAAAAATCCTTCATCTTAATTATTTATCTATCTGTTATTGGTTATTTATAGATTCATTCACTTTAAGTTTAAATTCATTAAATAATCCGTCCATTTATTTCTCTCCCTCTTTCTGCAGCGGTCTGCCTTGAAGGCTGCAATGAAAGGAATGGAAACTGCTCGTTACCAGGAGAGTGCAGGTGAGCTTTCAGATTTGGAGACCTGGATGGGGGAAAAAAAAGAAATTTGTAAAAAAAATAATTAAATAATAATATTAATAATTACAAATATGGGGATTTAAAAAAATGTATTAAGTCCAAAATTTGAGTATGCTTTTAGGATATGACATTTGGTTTATTATGTTGTGTATTTTTTACTTAGCTTTTTGCACATCTGGTCAATGACGATGTTTTGTTTGTTTCTGGTGTTGTTCAATTCAATGTTTAAAAAAATGGATAATGTTAATTAATTCCATAACAGATTAATTACACAACAAATTATTTAATTACACAACAAATACATGTCATAAAATACCATTTTGTAAATGATGTGTTTATCAGTGTGCAGTCACGTCAGCGCCAGTTGCCCGTTTAACGTTGCGTGTGACCGCCGCTTCCCGTAACAATGACCGCGTTATAAATGATTCACTACCAAACCTACGCCATTGTGAGTGAGGAAACAGTGTCTTAAATAAATCATTTCATGACATCACTTCACTCTGTCTGTAGGAAGCAGATCAGGAGTGTTAATCTGTGTGTGTGTGTGTGTGTGTCAGAGCCAGGAGTCATGTTCTGTTTTGTGTGTGTGAGAACAGGTGCAGGGAGGGCTGGCAGGGCCTCTTCTGTGATGTGTGTAAACTCCATCCGTCCTGTAAACACGGTACCTGTAAAGAGCCTTGGCAGTGCACCTGCAGAGAAGGCTGGGGAGGGATTTTTTGCGACCAAGGTGTGTATATTTCATTCACTTTTTGCCCCGAAGGCTAAAAAAAAAAAAGGCAAAACAAGTGCACGGTGTGAAGTGTTAGCAGTGTAACTAACAGCCTGGCGCCTCGCTCTGTGCCCCATGTTTACAGATCTGAACTTCTGCACACATCACAAACCCTGTGCCAACGGGGCCACGTGCATGAACACAGGTCAGGGCAGCTACACCTGCACCTGCCTGCCGGGTTTCACTGGTGTCAACTGTGACTTGGAGGTCAGGCAGTGTGACAGCCGGCCCTGTCACAACGGAGGCCGCTGCCTGGTGAGTCCGGAAGTCTCTCTCTCTCCTTTCCCACAACGCAGGCTTTCCTGTTTTTGTTTTTGACTTGGTCTATCTGCTGCTCCAGGAGGATGCTATTGATTGTCAAGTCAGTCGATGACCCAGTTCACAGGCCGCCGACTGTAAATAGAATCCAAACAGGGGATAATGGGTTTTGATGGGACAGACTTAAACAGGATATGATAAAAAAAAGAAAAAAATTAAATGCGACACGGAGCTTCATTGTGCTGAACTTTATTTCTGTGTGTGTCTCTGCAGGTTTCTGAGGACGGCTACGTGTGCGTCTGTCCACAGGGCTTTGAAGGGACACGCTGTGAAAACAAGATGCTGACGTGTGCGGACACGCCCTGCTTCCACGGAGGCAAATGCAAAGAAAGGGGGGATGGGAAAAGTTACGTCTGCGAGTGTCCAGCAGGATACACTGGACACAACTGTGAGAGGAAGGTGAATAAATGCACCTCCCTGCAGTGTGTAAATGGTATTGCATCCTCTCTTTTTTTTACAAATAAAAATATATTATTCCTCTTTCTTGAGATTGTCCCTCACACGCTGTTGTCTTTGACAGGGGGACACTGCGTGGTCCAGGGTAACCTCCGACTGTGCAGCTGTCGATCGGGCTTCGCAGGACTGCGCTGCGAGATCAACATCAACGAATGTTCCAGTAACCCCTGTGCAAACGGTTCCACGTGTGTCGACCGCATCAATGACTACACCTGTGTCTGCCCCCCCGGCTACACGGGTCGCCACTGCGACAGGCTAAAAGACGGCTGCGCCTTTCGACCCTGCCAGAATGGGGGCACCTGCGTTATCGGAGCCAAAGGCCGGCCCGCCTGCATCTGCCCCGACGGTTACACCGGAGCCCGGTGCCAGTCTGGCGACGTGCCTTTAGCCGTGACGCCCGGTCCCAACGTGGGCTGGGAGTCTGGGGACCAGCTGGTGGCCATCAGCCTGGGTGCAGGTCTGGTGGCTGTCCTGGTGCTGCTGTGCATGGTGGTGGTTGTGATACGTCACGTCAGGAAACAGAGAGCGAAGGAGCAGGACTCAGAGACCATGAACAACCTCTCCAAGCTCGACTACCAGAAGGAGAACCTCATATCCACCCTGGAGCTGAAGAACACCAATAAAAAGATAGACTTGGAGGTGGACTGTCCCAAGGAGAAGTTAAATCACAAACACATCAACGACTACCACCTGGACTACAAAAGCTCCGTGGGGTACAGGGACGAAATGTGCCTTCTGGACAAAGATGAAAACTGTGAAAAGATGACAGAAGACAAACAGCATTTAAGTAGAAAGTACAGGTGAGAAGACGGCAGAGAAGGAGCCGTTTATGATTCAGAACAGTTTGACTTTGAAATATTTTAAATTGTGTTCAGTTACTGACATTAACGTTAAATCTGTCTTGTTTGCAGAGAAAGGCCAGAGTGTAGGATATCAACGATATGTTCATCTAGAGATTCAATGTATCAGTCCGTCTTTGTAATAGCAGAGGAGAAGAACGAATGCATCATCGCAACGGAGGTAAGTCCTTACTGTTTACGTATGACGATTAGGGGTGTGAGAAAATATCGATACAATGAAATATCGCAATGTTAGTTTCACGATATATTGATATTCTACAGCACTGTATACATTTTTTTTTACACATTTAACACGCAGTAACCTGGTGTTAAGCTAGAACAGATTCTTGCCAATATACACCCCTAGTGTCAATGTGTTGACTTTTAGAGTGTGTTATTGAGTTTATTACATTTTATGAGAAGTTTTAAAATAAATTCCATTGCTCATTTGTTTTTAGGAAACATTAGTAGTTATATAAATAAACTGTCTTATATAAATGGAATTCTTAAAATTGTTTTTAAAAAATTATTTTATTTCTTCTTTTAATCGATAATCAATTTAATTCCTGCTTCTTCTCTTTCAGGTATAACACATGGATTAGAGTTATTGTTAATGTTGGACTTCCTCTGGACTGTTTACACGTGTAAAGAGACTGGGATTTATTTAAATGAAAGTTGCTGCTTTTGAAAAAAAAAAACACAAAAAACTTGATAACTAGATGGAGCTAGTGCGCTCATCGATTGCAATAGTACTGAAGCTACAAAACTCTGTGAATGTAAAGACTGAAAAAAAAAAAATTACCCCTCACACCCTCATCTGCTCCATCCCAGGGCAACGGGCTGAGAAGTCACTGATTAGAAGAACGAGGACGATCCTCATGCAGTCTTTCAACATGTTTTTGCAGTAATCAGCGAGTCAGGTTACTGCACGAGGACGATCCTCATGCAGTCTTTCACCATGTTATTGCAGTAATCAGTAATCAGCGAGTCAGGTTACTGTCAACAACCCCGTGGAACGGTCCGGCATTTTTAATTTTTTCTCTGGCCTCAAAGCTGCGTTTTTAACACACAAATAAAAAAAAAAAACAGGAATAAAAATCCCTGGAAGAAGTCAAGACGACTACTGAAGATGCTTCACTTTAGAGGAATTGGTTACCAAGTATGTTGGACAAGTGTCTGTCCACGAGGCCAAAGGGACATAGCAAAAAAAAAACTCACTCATTTGTGACTGAAAACCAAGAGCCAACCTAATGTGTCCCACAACATTTTGCCCCAGGGCTGCAGAGGGGTTTGTAACTGTGCAAATCAAATCTTTATCATATTATAGAGAATGTATGAATCGAAAAGGCCTTATTTGATGTTTTGATTGAAAAAACATTGCACCCCGCCTTAGCCTTGATCTTTTTTGCACAGCATCATGGAGAAAAATCAAGAATCAAAAGATGCGATGACAGACCCTGCTGTCCTTTATGCAAGATTCCCTTTAAACTGAGACAAAGAAATGCAGAGTAACCAATCGTACCGAGGACGCCTTCAAAGGAAATGACCGAACCAATAATTTTATTTTATAAGATTAGTATTTCATGGGTAATTTATGAATATGAAGCACTGATCTTTTTTTTTCCTTCTATTTTTATAAGACTACTTTGTATATACTGTATATTTATATGTTGAGATTAGAAGTATGAACTGTACATCTGTTTTTAGGTTCTTGCCCCCAAAAGGTGAATTTATTTTTTAAGTGTTGTTGGTGTTTTGATTTTAATGTTATTATATTTTATGGTTTTATATCTAGATTAAAAAAACACACAATGGATACATATCTGGTACACTGCTTGTTTGTCGGACTTTGGTGGTCGAGTGTACCTGAGCTCGGATAGCGGCTGAATTGTTGTATTGACTGGTGCAGTCGGTGGCTTCACCGCGTGTCGTATTTGACCCGGTAGTGGTTCTATTGATTTCGTGTCCTGTTCAATGTCCATGACATCTGTGTCGGTGTGATGTGATCAGTGTGCTAGCAATCATTCAGTGGACAGTATTGTAATTGGCAGTACTGTGAAGGAATCACACAAATCAAAATAGTCATTAAAAAAAATCTGTATGAAAATAAAAGAAAAAATCCATCTGATTTTTCTGCTTAAAATTCCTCTGTAGAATGCTTCTGTACTTTTTGGTATGTTATCTAGGTAGATTTTAATCAATTGAGATTAGATATAATATAGGCAGAGGGAGGATCTATTTTTGACTACCACATGGGGGCAGTAAGCCTGGTGTACCAGGTACAGTTGGTACTGTGTTCAGGGGGCACTGCGTACAGTAGAACACGCAGCTAATGAGCTTATGAGAGCACAGATATAACTGTCCCTGCTATTTAGAGCTAATGTCATTACCTGCTCCAGTGTCACGGAATGTCTTTCAACGATGACAATACGTATTAAATTGTACCTTTGGCCAATTAAGAGTGTATACAGTAATTAACTCATCTCTGTATATTTTTTGTAGGAGGAAACCAAAGTACCTAAAAAAACACTGCCACGAAAAAAAAAACACTAAGGGCATCAGGCCAGAGAAGAAGAAAAGAGAGTACGAGAGAAAGATCAAGAAAGAAGGGAGGATGGTAAGACAGAAATGAAAGAGTATAAAAGTTGAAAATATAGGATGGTAAGACAGAAATGAAAGAGTAAAAAAGTTGAAAATATAATGAAAGAAAGAGGCAGAAAGACTGTGAATACGTAGGAATGAAGAAAAAGGAGCGATAAAAAAGTAAAAGAGTAAAATACACGACAAAAGAATCAGAAAATAAAGAAAAAAGTAATAAACAAGTGAGACGTTTCTCCTTCAGGAACTGGTTGCATCTAGTTTCAGCCGTGAAACTAAGTAGATCCTGATTGGCCAATGCTTTGCCAGAGCCCGCCTTTTGTGTCACGCGATTGGTCCAGCCTGTGAAGCGGTGATGCGCTTTAAAAACAAATACACGTGTTTTCTTTCTTACTTCGTGACTGGACACATAAAATAAAGTATGTTTGCGGTGTCGATACGGTAGAGGTAACGTCGATACATCACTGAAGCTGCTGTGGAACCGTCAGAACGAAACGAACACAGATTCCATCAGTGCGACACCAGACTGAGACGACAGTGACTACATGAACAAGTGACGTGACTTTTTTTTTTCAACGTCTTTAAAACAGGTATCGAAAAGGCGTGTTAGTAAAATTACAAACAAGTACCGCCTTTAGCGTCGTTAGTCACCGGTTGTTGTGGGAAATGAAGATCGTATAAAAAGCAGCGGGAATCCCGTCTGATCAGAGTCTTCTCAGCCGCATCACGTGGACCAGGATGAAGGGGAATCCTCAGGACATCATTGCGGAGAAGAGCAGTCTGTGGATCTTCGGCTACGGATCCTTGGTGTGGAAGCCTGGCTTCGCTTATACAAGGAGCAAAATAGGCTTCATCAAAGGCTACAAGAGACGCTTCTGGCACGGGGATGACTTCTACAGAGGGACCAGAGAGGAGGTAAGGCTTCACTTCATCACCTTTTATCGCCTTGTTTTTATTATTTATATATATATATATATACACATTTATTTTTTGCTTTTAATTTTCCAGTGTACTGTACAACAACATGAACAGTAACACTTTGTTTTGTTTTTGTTTTTCTGCAGCCAGCCAGAGTGGTGACACTGGTGGAGGATCAGGAAGTGAGTCTGTTGTCATCTTAACCAGGCTGTTATTAAACTTTTCACCTTATGTACACTTTTAACATTACCATAACATTAGGTTAGGCTTAACTTCACTGGTGAATCTGTGAAGAAGTGTAATCTCCCCATCGCTTTTTTCAACTTTATTGTCCGACACGATACAGAATGTTTATTTGAAGTTTCAGGAATTTCCCAAAATATTAATAATATAATGAAAATTTTAAATTGATGGGTCTCAGGATGTATATTAGATCTGATTAATCACAGGGGGGGCAGGGAAATAATCGAAATTAATCGTGAGAACTGGTGATTAATCGACAATCCTAAATCAGTGCACTGCTGGAACAGAAAGACTAGATCACATCAGGTAAAAGTGTGTGTTTGACACAAAGCTTAACCCCAAATTTAGCTTCATAGAGTTCATTTCAGTCGTGACTGTGTCTCCTGACGATGGCATATAGAACATGGAAATGAAAACTTCCATGATAATAATTATCAGTCGACCGCAAACCAAGTGGCAATTATACCAGTTGTGCGACATTCTGTAAAAAAAATGTATTCAGATTCAGTTCACGCATTCTTGAACGCAAAGTGGTAAATTAATCAATCACAGAAATGAAGTGACTAACTCTGCTAACTCTGGCTGTTTTTTTCTTCTCTGCAGGCATGCACATGGGGCGTAGCCTATAAGGTCGAGAAGTCCCAGATTGAACAGTCCCTTCAGTACCTGAATATGAGAGAGGTTGTGTTGGGAGGCTACATAACAGAGATGGTAGAGTTTATCCCAAAGGAGGAGGACCAGGGTCCACATCTGGCCCTCGTCTACATTGCTACGTCTAGCAACCCCATCTACCTCGGCCCCGCCTCGGAGGCAGACATTGCCGAACAGATTGCGGCCTGCAGTGGCAAAGCGGGCCCTAACATTGAATACCTGCTCCGCCTGGCAGAGTTCATGAGGCTGTCCTGCCCCCAGGTGGAGGACCAGCACCTGTTTACCATCGAAGCAGCACTTTTGAACATTTTTAGTAAAAGTGAAGGGATTCAGTCCCTTGAACACAGCACTGTGGTGCCAATGTATGCCTAAAAGTCCAACTCAGGAGCTGATGTCTTTTTTTACCATTTAGACCCACGACACATGTTGTGGCACGGGGTACTTTTCTGGGACTGTTTTTCACTCAACACCTTTTCCTTGTATCTCTTGTTACACGGTGCTCTTAGTTTGACCTTTTTTGACGGTGAAGAGATTCTGCCCCCCCGGCTGCAACGGTGCTCTTAGTTTGACCTTTTTTGACAGTGAAGAGATTCTGCCCGGCTGCATTCTGAACATTGTGCTACTTTTCTCAATTCAATTCTCACTTCTTAGAAGTTTCATTTCTTAAACCTTTTTTTAAATATATGTATATATATATACCTTGGACATGTCTTTTAAATTTATGATAATAAAAACAAACTACAAGAATTGATTTTTTAATATTTTAATATCTAAAGATACCTAGAGCCTTAGAAGCCTTACAAGTCCATGTTATTAATATATAAACACAAAAAGATGACTAATGACTGTGAATACTATCTGCAGGCTCAGCAGTAAAGGACCACGTGTCACGTTTTACTGCCGGCTCTGTGTCTACAGAGGCTTGAGTTGGAACGCAAATAAGGGGTTTCATTCCCTGTGTGTGCTGTGGTCACGTGGCTTTAACATACAGTACACATACCAGACTTGTAAGGGGGGCTGGGGTCTGTCCATGTGTACAGGAGCACACATGGACAGACTTCTGTGGATCAGTGTTCTTAGAAATCAGCAGAAAACTGGGCCAAAGGTTCCAGCGGTGGATTCAGCAGAGTCAGGGAAAGAAAAAAGATTAGGAGCCAAACTTTGACGCCGTGTTCTTTGAACAAACATGTAAAGGTGTGACCTAACCTGTGATATAACTACAGTCCACGGAATTGTGTGTGTTTTCTGGCCACGACTGGAATATCTGAGTTATGAAGAAACAGTGATGATGACACACGTTCAGAGATGTTCGGTTGTTGTGACGAACAGAAGGAAGGAATGAGTGAGTGAATCAACTTCACAGTTGTTTATGAAACGCCTGTCATCACATCCTGGTAACATGTAAGAACATAACCAGGGCTGGTACAGTTGGTTGCAGAACCAACAGATACCTGGTATCTGGTGACTCATGGAACAGTGGTTTAATTGCTCAATTTACAGCACGTACAGTAGCTCACCTCAAGAGTGATATAGTAAATATTTTTCTTCCCTGTGACTTAGACTGAAACTAGACTGTCTTTTTTTCTTAGCAAATAAGACAACTACTGGCTTGACAAAACTCACAGGGCTATCATAGGTTAAAAATATTAATTTGTCACACAGTAGTTTTAGATTGATTGCAATTAATCTCGATTAATCGTGATTATTCAAATCAGAATCAATCATGTAATCATAAAATTAATAAAAAATGTAAATACATTTTAAAGCATGTGTATTTTAAAAAAAAACTACTTAAGACTAGTATTTATTTAAAATATCCTGATAAAAACATGATGAAAATTAGCTAAGAATAAATGGTTGATGCAGAACACAGAACACAGAAGCCATAAAAATAAAAAAAAGAGACAGTGAAGCAACCTTAAAAACAAACACATGCGGGAGACGCATTCAGTTACACAAGTATATATATATATATATATATCTATATAGATATAGATATATATAGATATTTAGTCAAATAAATAGTTAAAACTCAACCTAAACAAAAATTGAAAAAAGCTAATCAAAGCTTTATATCCAAATTGTCCAAATGTAAATTCAACCTTTTTCTAAATACTAAACAACATTCTAAACATCACATTTGATTTGATGGCCTCACAGATGACCCAACACGAAACCCAACTGACTGACTAAGCAGATGTCAGCCCACGGAAACAGAATCCAGGAACTCTGTTCAGATTATGATGAATCCCAGAGAAACCCCATAATAAAAACATTATATTGACCGAAAACACATTTGAAAGAAAAGAAGGTGGTCCGTGTGCACTTTGACCCCCTGACTCAGTATCATTACCTCAGAGAGGTCCTTCAGTCTGCAGCAGAGAGTGTCACTCATTATCCTTTCACAGATTATCAGGAACATACACAACAAAGCTGGGATCAGAGGCCGCGTTCTCACCATGTCAGTTTGACCCTCCGCTGCCCTGTGTACTGGTCAGCCACTCCAAAAACATTATTTGTACTAGTACATGTCAGGGCTTCCACCTGCATGCTAATGTGAACGCAGCCTGAACCCTGACCCTTGATCTTGGTTGGACCAGAGAAAGGCTGAAGGTCACTCTGGGAGTGTGTTAAAGACAAAGTGATTCGTATCGTATCGACTCGTATTGACTGCTAAGCTCCATCCAGTGAGGGTCACCTGACCTCTTCCTCTGGACTCCTGCCAGTGGCCACAAGTGCAGCACGGTCACGGAGGCCACTTAACCAGAAGAGGAAGACGATCCATTTGTGACGCACAGACATTGGCTAAGGACTTGGCAGCGAAGCTCGTGTCTTCTCTCAAATTATTCATTAGTCATTAATGGACGTATTGATGGTTTTGATGTTAAATCAAAAACAACAAACCTGGCGTCTGGCTCTGTCGCCTGTTGCTGCTCATCTGACGTAGACGAGAACGCGTGCAGTGGAGAGCCATCCATCATCGTACAATCATGGGTTCTGTCCTTTAATCAACGCATCATTGCAGGGGTTGATGTGAAAACTGTTTTGTTCTCATCCAAACAGAAACGTGACTCATGTCCAGTGGGTTTTTGTTAATTCAATTAGACCAAAGCAGGACGAGGGACTGGAGAAGGACCAGAGACTGAAGCAGGACAGGGGACGGCATGTTTCATCCCAGAGGATTGTCACTTTGGCTGCTCTTCATTTTATTTCCCAAATCTCATTAACACTTAAACCACCACAGCTGCCCAGGTCTGACTGTGACTCTGTTTTAAAATTAGTTTCAGATATGTTTTGGATGACATTAAAAGGCCCAAAGTTTAACTGTTTGTGTTATAGTACTGTGCTGTGAGAGATCATGAGGCGTAACCACAGAAAATTATCTAATTGCAATACAATGGTCTTAAAACTATTATATATTTACAGACTTGCTCCCATTTTCCAGAAATCTGACGAAGGAGAAAGTCTCAGAGCTGTTGAAGTTCTTCACATGTGTCTTTCTTCAATTCCTGCAAGAATATCAGCGTTGTGTTCAACTAAACAGACCCAGGTTTCACATTGAGTCTATACATTGTGAGAAAACTGAAACTAGATGATTATATTTGAAGTAGATATGAATATTTTTGATCTGGCTTAAAAGAGGTTGGAGAACGATGTTTCATATATTATATATTTCCTTTTCTATTTCAGATTGTCAATTTGCGAGGGAGTGTTTGGCCATTTATATTGTTGAGGACCACGGCTTCACCAACTCCAGACACATTCTGCAGTCACCTTCAAGACACAGGGAAATGTTTTTTGGCATATTTTGGAAATATTTAATAGTATTTTGATAATCATGACAACTGACAATTGTGATTAATTCATGTTGTTCTGCTTTGCTCAGCAGATCAGCGCTGACAGGACAAGAATCCATTGTTGTCTATTTTGTGGCGTCTCCAGGGTGTTGGCTCGGTGTGATAAGTTTGAGGACCAAAAATAAACACATTGTCAGACAGTAATAATAAAGAACGAGTGCAAGGAGTGGTAAGGTGCATTTAATCCTGCATTACGTGTGGGAACTACAGTTCCACATGTTTGGTGGTAACATGTGGAACTACATTCCACAAAACACGCCAGAGCTACTTTAGGAAACAGCAACTTCAGCTTCGTTGTTGAGATAGATAGATAGATAGATAGATAGATAGATAGATAGATAGATAGATAGATAGATAGATAGATAGATAGATAGATAGATAGATAGATTGATGGGTTAGTGGTGGGATAGTAGTAGTAAATAGTTAATTCATATTAGTAGTGGTTAGATGTAGTAGCAGTGGTAGTAGTGGTAGGTTAATAGATGATTATTGTTGTTGATTGTTGATATTTGTTATACATACTGTATATATACACATATACAGCATACACACACATGCATGGTTCAGGGCACAACTTACTTTCTGTATGTCAGTTAATAATAGCACAGACCCACAGAGTTTACTGGGTGCAGAGAAAACAGATATTTGTTTTGGTAATAACAACCCCCCCATCCACAACCCCCAGCACACTGAGTGATCAGGACACTGTCAACAACATCTATAACCTTTACATCAGCCTGGGTCAAAAATAAATGGATTTCACAACAGTTTCACTCTGAGAGCCACACCAGTTAAAACAGCTGTTGATTCTGGATGGTAAAAGTTTTGGGGATCACTGGTGCGTCCTTTAAAACGCTGAAATGACGAGGGCTGGTGTTGCTACATGTGTAACCTGATTGGTCTAAACCGTATTTGCCAAAAGATATGCTAAGCGCTAAATGAGCTAAAGTCACATGGGAGTCATGTCCATGAAATAAGAATGTCAAGTGTGCCTAAGACCCCAACAGCACATTGAAATGACAAGGAGCATTTACTGGCATCTAGTGGTGAGATAGCCTATTGCAACGCCAAGACAAGCTATAATATAACTTAATTTCTAGTTACAGTCATATAGTTTTTCACCGGATGGCGATTTGTCCGCTACAGGTTCTTTTACTGTAGCGGACAAATAGATGTCGTAGACGTTTTTTCCGTGGTTTACGTAATTCAAGGTATGACATGCGTCACCGGACAAATAGATGTCGTAGACGTTTTTCCGTGGTTTACGTCATTCAAGGTATGACATGCGTATGTGTTGATTGGCTGTAAAAACCCGCATTGGAGGATGAGTGAAGTGCGGTATGTATGACTACGAGCTGTTGTACTAATTAACTTGTCCCTGTAAAGAAGGGGTCGAATTATTGTACATTAAGGGGTTTGGGGGAGTTATTGATTGTACTCGGTACAGAAGGTAAAACATTAAAACACGCAGGACAACTTGCCTCTGTTTGTTAGCATAGTTAGCATCGTTAGCTCGAAGCGAAAAAAGAGCAACTAACTCGCAAATTTAGCATACGTTTTGTATTCTTAAGAATTTTTGTTTTTCGAATATAATCCTAAAAATATAGTACAATTATGATATTTATTATAAATATGAAAACTCAAAGCTGCGGTGGGAGCAGGGTCCACTGAGAACAGTCTGCTTTGACGTTAGTGACAAATACAAACGGAATAAAAACGAATACAATAAACAGACAGAGGTTTCATTTTTTCATTTTTAGGTATTTAGGTATTTCATTTTTAGGGATTAATTCATCACAATAAACAGACAGAGGTTTCATTTTTAGGTATTTAGGTATTTAATTGTTAGGGATTAATTCATTGTGATTAGTCATGAATAATCCACTGCTACCCTGAGATTAACCAGATTAAATTTTTAATTGTTTAACGCCTGAATTAATATTGATGCACTAACGTAAATCTTTTATGTTACCTTTAATTTCGAATGATTGATTTCACTCTTCACAGCAGGTTAATAGTTAACTCTGTCTCCTCACTTTGCATCATTGTGGTCTAACAATAATCTAAACATTAATCTGCAAACACAACTGTCAGTTTGGTTTAATCCACATCATTACACCGGTGTTCTGGTGTTTGACATGCTATTAACCTCTGTGCGGTCCTTTGCATTTTTGTACACACCGTTTGTCTTGTTCCAGAATATGAGTATTAATGAATATGAGGAAATGTTGGCACAAGTTGTGCAGTACAGGAACAAGAACACACACACAGACAGACACAAAGACATGTTGGTGTTGGTCTAGGTGACACCTAGACCCAAAGGACTTTACAAGGGTTAAAGATTAACATAACTTTGAGTTGTCTGTTGACAATGGCATTTTGTAAAAGATTCCTCACATAGTAAGTTGACAGCAACACACCCACAGATGAAAAAGTTGCCTCACCTTCTGAATAACTAAAGAATAGATAAAAATATTTGTTTATTGTTGATTAACAAACTGAACTCTATTGGTTTTATTTTCATATTTAAACCAAACAAATCCCTTTTGTGCCAAATGCTGAGGTTCATTTGGTGAACTTGCATTTAAACGGCACGAGAACCACCAAATGGAACACTATTAACTTAAAAAAACCCTCAGTGCAGGTGACAGTGTTTTATGGTAAATACCTGAGCTCACACCAGTTTGAATGTTCACATTAGAACAACAGAGTCCTGTGATTTATGGACGTGTGCTGGTTGTTGTTACCCTGCTGACGTCTAACTGTAAAGATGGCCCTGACATTCTGACTCAGAGCTCTCAGGTACTCTGACTCTGCTCCTTGGCCTGATTCAAAAGGCCCTGGGGGTTTCCTGCGATTTTTCTCTGGAGTGTTTCTTTCTCAGAGAACAGGAAAGGGAGCTCTGTTTCCCACACACTCGCACAGTCACTTAAATTATCAACAATATGTATTTCGATTTTATTTTTACTCACTAAAGACTTCAAAATGTTAATCAACATAAACAAATCCAAACACAACGTCTGTATCATTGTCGACAATGAGCAAATGTTTCCAATCGTGTGTAATGGCAAGTAATGACGCGCCGGGTTTGTATGAAGATTGTTGGGCCTGTGAAAAGATCAGGTTCTCATGTTAATCAGCCAATTGCGACAGAGTTTCCTGTTTAAATAGATTCTAATCAGGCTTTGAAAAAAAAGGCTGCTCTTATGTGTGGATTGAAGTGGAGCCAGTTGAAACTAAAACGAGAAGAAGGAAAAATATGAATTCATCAAAGGCCAAAAGGGAGAGACCCCTGCTGATACTCTTATCAGTTTTATGTAATACAACAGATAAAACGTTCAGCTGTTGAGTCAGTTGTTTGTGTTTTTAAAGCACAGTGCTGTCATGGAGCACTGACACCAAGAAGAAACACCATTTTTGGTTTAATGTTGGCTGTTATCTTAGTTGTACAAGTACAAGCGTGCTTGGTATGTCAACGAATGGTCAAAGGTTTGGAGCATTCAACATGCTCAAAATATCATTATAAGTGCTAAGCTAAACAAACTGGTTCTTCAGGAAGCTCTGTTTAACATTCCATTTATTTGAAATATGTATTTAAATATCATTTAAATTACTTGTTGGACCTGTTGAAATATGGCTTATTTTTAAATGTTCCTTCTAATTAAATGACTAATTTAAATATTCTTGATGGTTTCTCATTCTGTTGCATTGCACTTGTAAGGATATTTTGAGCATGTTAGGAAGCAAAGGGTATCAAAACTGTGCTCAAAATTGACTTATTACTTATTACTGTCAAATATTTATTTAATATTTATAGAAATCAAACCTGTTACATTTAATAAAATAAAATCAACAAATTTAGAGTTCAGCAGCTCCATGTTACCTCCGCTTAAAGAAATCAAACCTGTTACATTTAATAAACATAGAATTATTAAATAAAATCAACAAAATTTAGAGTTCGCTTAGTGAAAGCAATTTAAACACAGTTTAATTTTATCTTCGAAACACAAGGTCACAAAAATATGTGAAATGGTTCCAAATGTCTTAAAGCAAAAGAAAATCTGTGGTGAAAGACTAATATTTGGTTGATTTGGTCCAAGCACTAGCTGCTCTTTACGTACCATATATGTGTTTGTTCCACGAGAACAGCCCGCCCCCTGCGATGCTCTCTGGAGGTTACAGGGAGATTAGTGCTGTTCCTGAACCCCTGCCAGGGTTTAATGGAGCAGTAACTGAAGTGACAGGGAAGCTCGCAGGCCGACAAAGACCCCAAACACTCAGGCTTTACTTAAAAAGTGGGACAGACTGATTTAGCCTAAGCTGGTTCACATCCAAATCACACAATACTGGTTATGAAATTAATTCAGATTATTGCAAATGCTCTGATTCAACACAAAAATTGTTTTTGCAGGGATGTGTATCCTGATTCACACGTATGTATTGTATGTATTCACTGCTGTAATTTATGATTTCCTGCAGTAACTGCTGGCTGCAAGTCAAGAATGTGAACAACAGTGGTTGGATGTAGGATTGAACAGAGGTTTGAATGAAGGGCTTGACTTGTGACCAATAGGTGCTTGAATTCAGGATGACCTGGGAAAGGAGTTGTATTCTGTTACTGATACAATAGAAATGTTTACTTTAAAAAAAAGACATTTGTTACTACTGATCATTTGACAGGATTGCAAACTGTGCATTTAGTGCCCTTATATCACCCATTGCTCTGAAATCACCTAGTGCCCCGAAATCATCTGGTGTTCCGAAATAATCTAGTTCTCATCTATAATCTATCGTTCGGAAAACCTGGGTGACAAACAGTTACAAAGGAAAAAAAGCAGTTCAAATTGCGGCAAATGAATGTCGTGCCTCACTGTGATCACAAAGACTCCACTTTAATGTTGAGTTACAGTGAATTCACAAAGGTCACAACCTTTGACATGAAGTGAATTTGCCATCAAGGATTATAACAAATCCACTAATTCTACCACAATAAGAGCCTGGCTGTGACACCCAGTCATCAAGGAGGACCTGGAAGTAAGACCATAAGAGACTATCATGTGGGGGTCTCAGTGTAGGGGT